ACACCAATGTATTTATTATTTATTTTATTATTTCAATTTCAATTTTATCTAAATTACATTCCATTTTATTAATGTTGTTGAATATCTTCAGATATTAATTAACTCATTATTAATTATTGTAATATATCTTATATTACTACATTCATCATTTATATCATCAATTTTCTTCATTATCTTTTATTTGATGATTTTATAATTGAATATATCATTAATTTCATCTGATTATTATACATTTAAATATTTATACATTTCATCTATTTCATTTATTGTAATATTTTCATTTCAAGATATTATTTGATTAATATTCTTTATTTCTTGGTTTATTTTCATTCATTCATTTCTTTATTCTATTTATTATTTATTTATTTGTTGATTATTCTCATTTATTCATTATTTTGTTTCATTATTCTCATTTATTCATTATAATATATGATTTATATTATTTAACTTATATTCATTGATTTGATAAATTATATTTATTTTGATGATGATAGAGTTGATAATGAATCATAATGTAAAATTCATCATTTTAATATATTATTTATATTCATTATATTTATATCATATGATTATATTCATTTTATTCATTATATTTTATATATTATCTATGTTGATTCATTTTATATTAAATTATTTTAATATTTATATTACATATTCATGACTCATTGATTCATATAATGTATTAATTTCATAATATAAATCTATGTATTTTGTGTATTTCTATTCTTTTTGTTGATTTAATATAAAACTATTATTATTCATTATTTATCAACAACAGATTATAATTTACATTATAATTGATTTCTATTAATTTTAAATATTTTATTATGAATATTAATTCTATTATGAATATTATCTTTTAATAATGATATAAATATTTTTATAATTACATTTATCCAATTGATATGATGATAATTAATAACATCATTAATATTACTTCATTTATTGATTAATATTGTTCTGCAATTTACCATATTTAATTTGATGATTTCATTGAAATTTAACAATTCATTAAATATATTATATATTCTCTTGATAATGATATTCTCTTCATTTAATATAAATATATAATGTCATACTGATTTCCAGTTATTTATTTTCATTATAATTAGATTCAAATCATCCAATATGATAATGATATTATCATAATTTATGTATATTTCATTCTAAATTATGATTTAATTTATTTTCATTTATTTAACTTGATTGATGATAGAGTTAAGATATTCATCATCAATATCAATAGTGTTATTTTTTATGATAATATTTTTTATTATTGGATTACACTCTACTTTCCCTTCTATGATGGAGTTCATTTTCGTTTTAATATATCTTTTAGTTGTTTCTTTTATTCTATGTGACTTTTTAATATTATTAATGTATTCTTTATCATTATTTACATTAATATTTATTACTTTTATTATGTTTTCTATTTGTTCCCATCTTATTTTTTTATTTAATTTCTTATTTAACCAATTAATTACAAAACAATACAACACATCAATTAAAATTCTATTTGTTTGATTTATTGTGTTTTCTTCTCTTCTTGACTGATTATTATTTCTTGTTTTTTGATATTCAGTGTTTTGTTCTCTTCTTCTATTTCCAGAATTGTCTTTTTCATAGGGGTAGTTTTGTTCATTTGTATTGTCCCAGATGATGATGTTCTCAGTATTTGTTGTGTATTTATCACTAGAGTCATTGTTTTCTTCTTCTCCAGTTCCTTCTGGGATAAAAAATTTTCGATACTTTCTTGTTGTTTTGATATTATTTGTTTTTGTTCTTCATTTTCTCTTTGTGTATGGTCTAATTCTTCTTTTGTTTTTTCTGTAATCTCATAGTTTTGAATCCCACTTTTTTGATATACAGAGATTTGTTTTTATTTATCTCTTATGTTCTTCTTCAACAGCTCAGCACTCTTCTCCAGCTCAGCACCTTTAAGGACCTTGTTCTTCTCCTTCTTCAGCCTCTCATAGCTAGCTCGGAGGGTAAGGACGGTTTCATCCTTACCTCCTAATTCAATGTTCCTTCCCATTTGTTTCATTGTTTTTCATTGTAATGAAATATTTTATTATTTTAATTTAGAGTTTTCTTATTTCATTACATGTGTTTTGAATATTGTTCATTTGTGTTTGAATCTTTTTTATTTCTTCTTCAAACTCTTTCTTGACTGTTTCTCGTGCTTTTTGAATCATTTCATTTGAAATAGTTCCTTCTTCTTCCATCTTTTTTGTTTGAAGTTCTTTAATATTTTCTTCTAATTCTTTAATTTTATTTTGAAGTGTGTTAATTTCTTATTTGTTATATTCTTCTTCCTTTTTCTCTTCTTTATCTTGTGTTTTCCTTTTATTTTCTTTTTCATTTATTATTCTTGCATATTTACATCTATCATTCATTTCTTTGTTTCGATTTTTGTTTTTGATTTCTTCTTCGATTGTTTTAATATCATCACTTTTCCAATCTTTTGGTTTACCTTTGATTTCTTCTTTGATTTTCTCCAGTGTTTTCTTCTTTCTTATTGAATATACTTCTTGGAGAATATTATACCATTTCTTTTCTTTACCTTCATACTTTTTAATTATTTCTGAATATTCTCCTTTCTCCCATTTTCTTGTTATTCTTTTATTTTTCATCTCAATTTCATTTGTTGTTAACCATTTAGATTTCTTGTTTGTATAATGTTTATTATCATTATACTTGCCTTGTTTTTTATTTGTTTTTCTTTGTGTTCTTCTTTTCCTAAACCCTTTTTTCCTGTTATTTCTTTTATCATAATTATTATGCATTTTATTGCTATTGAAGTCCTTTCTTTTCTTTGAACTTGAATACCTGTTTGTTGTTTGATTTTCTTTACAAGACTCTATAGTATTACTCAATAGCCATGGCAA